CAAAGCTACAGAGAAACCCTGACTCAAAAAACAAAACAAAGCCCGGCGGTGGTGGCACACACCTTTAATCCCAGCACTTAGGAGGCAGAGGCAGGCAGATCTCTGTGTGTTCGAGGCCAGCCTGGTCTACAAGAGCTAGTTCCAGGACAGGCTCCAAAACCACAGAGAACCCCTGTCTCAAAAAACCAAGAAAAAAATACAAGAAGAAGAAGAAGAAGAAGAGAAGTAGGAATTAGCCAGAAACATTAAAGTTGTGCTTGCCAGCACTGCGAGCTCATCATACTACGCACTTTGTCAGGCACAGAGGAGGGAAACAATTCTTGAAGGGTTGTTTTGTTCTGTTTTCATTGGGTCAGGGTCTCATTATGTGAAACAGATTGGCCTCCAGCTCAAAATCCTCCTGCCTCTGCCTCCCAAATGCTGGGATTATGGGTGAACTGCCGTGTTGTGCTGAGGCTGATATTGAAGAAGCTCACAGACTGAATAAGATGCAGAAGAGATCTGTCAGCTGACTCTAGTGTGTTGGGCTATGGACCAGGTTCCTGGAAATAGTCACATCCCCTTGTTTCTTCGTTAAGTAGAATGGATTCCTGAATCAACTGGAACCTTCAACAGCTGTACCAGCTTTTCAATTGATGTTAAGACTTTACCTGTCTAGCATACTTGGCAGATACAACTAGTTGGCCTTCTTAGAAACAAAATGATTTATTTGAGAATTTCACACTAGGTGTTTTGCTTCTTTGGTTAAGGGGGAAGCATTTATTTTGAATCGTTTGGTATGCTTTGTGCTTACACTGCTTTCCTGCATAACTTGGCTCAGCAGAAATGATGTTTTAAGTCCCAGGCGAAGCACCGCCAATGCCCATTGCCTACTGTTAGCACAACTGTGTCTGTCTACGACCTTGTTCAGATCTTTCATAGTGTCCAGCCCGTGCCCGAAGAGAGCTATGAATGTGGCCCAACACAGAATCATAAGCATATTTAAGACCTTATGAAATTTTTTTGCTGTGCTTTTTTTTGGGGGGGGGGTGTTACTAATTGTGTGTCTCAGATATGAACTTTGTAGATGACAATGTCACATTGCAATGTTATAAGTTTGGACGTGCCTACAAGTTGCTTCTGGAGGTGTTGTTTCTAGGAGGTGTTCACTAAACCACTGTGTATGCTAGACATGGACTGGGCCCACTGAACCACTGTGCAGCT